TAAAATATAAACTAGAAGAACTTCTTAAAGAAAAATTAAGAGAATTAACAGAATTAAAACTAAAAGAAACAGATTTTCTTCAAATAGTACAACATTTTTACAGAAATTTAAAATATTTTCCAAAATGGCAAAAATTTCCAGATTATTTTATAAGAAAAATATTAGAATTTAAAAAATATACAAAAAATATAGTTTTGAAAGCTATAAAATTTTAAGGCAGATTTCTGTACTGTTCTCACAACTATAGTCTTTCACTGCGTATACGTAATGTCAAAATATATACAATCATGTAATAATACGTATACGTGCTGTGGTACAAAGAGACAAACAAAAAGTTTTAGAAATCATTTATAGCTGGCCAATCCGATTCATGTGAAATTTCACACGTGGATAACAAAAATATAACAATTTTTTACGATAAATCCAAGAAGATCTATGAAAATTAAGCACCTCAGCCTAAAGTTTAATAATTTTTTCAGTCAAAACGATTACTCTACAAAATTGTCCATAAACTATTTAATACCCTAGTCCATAGATTAGTGCTGGACCATAGGATGGTCCATCAATTTGTACGTAGAATAGTCAATGAACTAGTCAGAAGACCTGTCAATTGATTAGTTCATCGGGTAGTCAATATACTTGTCGATAGACTATTCCATAGAATATTTAATAGAGAAAATAGGCTAGTCAATAACCTTGTTAATAGCCTGTCCAAAACTAGTTCATAGATTAGTTAACAGACTAGTCTATACACTAGACGTCACAATAGAATAGTCCATATACTAGGCAATATTCGCTCTTTATAAACAAGTTTTAACTAAGTCCCTTACGATTTTATATTTTAACAAAGAATCGATTTTTAAGGAAAAAATCACAATTCAAGTTCTTTTATATTTTTCAACTTCGCAAAAAGGTTATAATATACTTCTAAACATGTCAATGCGTTTGTAATTTTCACAATTATGAGTACAAAAATATTCTCAAAAAATGTATAACATTCTTAAAGATTCTGTACTAATAAAATTTTCTTCTGTCTATAGAAAAAATTTAAGATTATTTGTTATTTTAAAAAAAGAATTCTATATTAATTTCCAATTTTCGTTATATATGTATACATTTATTTGATTTTATTAATACAACAAGTAGTATATAAACAGCATTGTTGGTTTTATTTGCTTTTGTATAATTTTTATCACAGCCCTGTTAACAGTTAGTTTTCCTTTTCCCTTTCAATGGATTGGTAACAACACAATCAAGCACTTAAACACACATACATACTTCCCCATAAAAACAATGGAGCTGCCGAGGGAAAACAAACAAATACACAACAGTAAATGTTAGTATGTATTACATAAATACAAACTTACTTACAATTATAATGTTGGTATGTACATTTATGTTTGTAAACTATAGTTTCCGTATATTGTTATTGTTTTGTTATTAAATGTCATGTTTGTTACTACATACAAACAAAGAAGATATGTATTTCTCTCTCGTTTTCTATTTGTATATCTCTGTGTTTTATGTTAATGTCGGTTGTTGTATTGTATGCATTTCCGTTTCTTATGTTCAACAGGAGTGTGGTATAAGAATACTACATTTCATGTTTATTATCTCGAATGAATGAATTGCGAATTGTTGTTGTTATTTTGTAGTTGATATTAGAAAATGTTAATGGAGAAGTAAGACCCTTCTCAATAGACTCATTCAAATATATAAATTCTTAACATTACTTTTTTTAAAGAAATTGTAAGAAGAAAGAAAATGTAAGGAAAATATTTTCACACCAACTACATCATATTGCAGTGTACAGGAATTGACAACAATTGCAAATGACAGTTATTTAAACCTAGTTGCCAGTAGATAGCTATTTAAAATTGAAAGGTAAGTTACAATTTCATTTTTATAAGCAAAAAAAAAATAATAAAATGAAATTAAAAAACAATGCTCAATGGGTGAATTTCGAAAAGGAAATAAATGTACATATAAATTTCTTATATTTTTATATAAATTTTGATAAGTTGGTTACCTGAATTTTTAACTCTTTTCATCCTTACAATTACAGTAAATTTATAAAAATTCTTAATTAATTCTTCTTTTTATATTTAAAAAAGTCAAATTTATTCCTTTTAAACTTTAGCAGCTAAAAAGACAACGTAATAAATATAATGTTAAGCTTTTGTACAATTTTAATGAATTTAATCACTATCGGCAGCATCACTGTCCTCGGCTTCAGGATGAGTTTTTAGTCTGGCAATTAATTCCTTTGCCGGGTTGAATATACCATTAGTTTGTTGTGAGCAAATGAAACAACGTTGGGATTTTTTATAATTTTCTAAAGCGCATTTTTCACAGAAATAATGTTTGCATCTAAAAACGGAAGAAAATAAAATTAAATGTTTTTTAAATTATTAATTGATATATCCTTCCAGAAGTATAAATTCGCAGACCAACAAATGTTTATCTGACCTGAATCCGAATCTGGTCTCATAATTTTTTCATCATAAAGTTTTCGAGTTATTGTGTCCCTAAAATCGAAAATCTCCGTTTTTTGCCATTTTTTAGACGTTAAACAGCGCGAAAATATCTTTATTTATAAAATTGTGTTTGGTTTTGCATGCTGTGAAAGACGTGGGTCCTTTTACTCCTTTTGGGATAAAATTTTGTTATGTCATCTAAAAATCCAATGTGTCGATCTTAAAATTAAGGTTTAACCTGTTATATTTTCTAGAAGATTAACAGATTTAAAAGTCGACAGATTAGACTTTCAGATGACACAACAAATTGTATAAAAAATGTCTTCGCGCTATTAGAACGTCTCAAATAACAGGGTTTTATGTTGTTGTATAAATAACACCCAGAAACGAAAGTATATTTTTCTTAAGGATTAAGCATCGTTAAATGTGAATCTGACTCCAGGATTTCTCTATCACATCAGGTTCCTGGAATATAGTGCTCCAGGAAACGTGAATGAATATGGTCAAATTCTGAAGCCAGATTCGGATTTGGCACTTCTCAATCTGGTCGACCTTTTTCAAATTTTGTTGTCCTAAGTAATTTAATACTTAAGTTTGACTACAATTTTCAGAAGACAGACAGACAGATTAAAAAAGTGATTCTGGTCTAAGTGATGTATAATTTTCTTAACTTACTTAGTAACAACGGGATTGACAAAACTTTGCCGACATATAAAGCATTTAAATGGCAATGTTTCCTCATCGGAGTGAATTTCATATTTGCTATCATCCTCATCCGATTCACAATCACCTTTCTTATGTGATGCATAGTCCATTTCAAGTTGCCAGCCGGCCTTGTAATCACTGCGATCATGTAAGAATTTACAGCTGTCACCAAAACCACAATAACCCGTTTCCTTATAATCTTTACAGATATCCGGCTGATAATCCCATCTAACGGTGGCTCGCAAATGGGCTGGCGCCCGAATAGGTCCTTTACGCACCATGCCTGAACTAGCATTACCGGCAGCTGTATCCTGTTTTTTATAGTATTGGGCATAATTATTAATGCCACGATAGATTTTATCATCAGCCTTGCCCTCTAATTCTTCATTAATTTTTAAGGCCTTTTCATGTATAGCCTGGGCATCACGATCCAGTTCAGTGTCAACTTCATTGATGGAAGTGGCACCTTGATCGTGCGGTCCATTAGGTTGTGCCGTACGTTTGGATTTGTAAGACACCGTGACTTTGGCATCATCATCACTTTCCCCACTAGACGAGGAATCGTCTTTATTTTGTCTTTCCCTTTTGGCTGTCAAGTGCTTTGTACTTTGAAAATTGGGATTTGTGCGTTTACGCTTCTGTTCAGCTCTAATTACTGAAGTGGTAGTTTGTTCCTGGTCACTTTTATCTTTATCTAGAAGGAAATTTGTTAGTTATTTTTCATCCGTATTAGTATTTCTATATTTACCAGACTCTTCACTGGATTCCTGTTTTCTTCTAAAAGCCGGTTTCTTTATATTTCTTTTTTTAAAGCCAAAGCTTGTTTCATTGCCGGTTGCTGCTTCCTGGGACATTTTTCCTAAACGTTTTTCGAATGTGTTCCTGCTGCTGCTTGTTGTTTATATTTGCTTTTTTCATTTATTTTGTTTTTGTGTTAAGGTTGCCAGACTTAAATATTGAATTGAGTTTTTCAATTCTTGATAGGGTTCTATAGTTAAAACAAAAAGTCGACTTTTGTATTTAAAGTCTTAACTTTGTGTTTTTCGAAAAGACGACTTTTTGAATTTGCGACCTTTTTCCACTTTGAACAATTATTTAACTTAATTTAAATTGTTGGAAAAAAACACAAATTTTCGACTTTTATCGATTTTTTTTTTTCGTCTTTTCAACTTTTTTACTTTTCTCGACTTTTTCCGACTTTTTAACTTTTTTTACATAATTGATTCTTTGACATTTTTCTTACAAGATCGGCTTTGCTACACAAAAATTTCGACCTTTTACGAGAAAATTCGATTTTTCGATTATTATAACGTCGATTTATAGACACCCTACTGATAACTCAATTCAGTGGTGCTGCCACTTTTTGCAAATTATTATTTGGCGAGAAAAAAAAATTCCATTACTTATTAATTCCAAAGTAAATTTATAAAGTAGACTCATTTGAACAGCTGACTATTTTTTTTAAACTTGCTATTTGTGGGCTTACTTGTCAAAAATGTTTATGTTGCCATATTTGTTTTAATTTTAACGCGTGCTTTTGTACAAATTTCTGAGTAATTTGTTGTATTTAATGTGAAAAAGTGTATTTTAGGTGTATAATATTTTTAAAAATGTTCTAATTTTTAAAAAATAAAGAAAACTCTGTGACTTTTAATATAAATAACAACATATTTTTGGAAAGCGCACCAATAATGCCATATTTTCCATTAATAATTGGTTCAATTTTGTAAACAAATTTTGACAGTTGAGTATTTCGAACAAAAACAAATTGCCTGTGGTTTTTGTAGACGTTTGTTGTACAACAACTCGTGTCGCTACTTTATTAATTTACTTTGATTAATTCTATGCCGGTGCAAAAAGTTTTGTCATCAGATAACACTTCCGCGTGAAAAATCTCGAAGTTTTTGGGTAATAATTTAGTATTTTTCTAAAATTATTAAAAATATACTCAACATGTCGCTTAAACTTTTATCGACCAATAAATGTTTCGAAGGCGAACAGCGTGTATACAGTCATGAGTCCAGTACATTGGGCTGTGAGATGAAATTCGGTGTTTATTTGCCGCCTTGCTTGTTGGAAGATAAAACCGAATGTCCGGTATTGTACTTTTTAAGTGGATTGACCTGTACCCACGAAAACTTTATACACAAGTCCGGCGTTCAACAGTATGCTGCCAAGCATGGTTTGGTAGTGGTGAATCCTGATACTTCTCCTCGTGGCCTTAACATTGAGGGAGAAGATGATGCTTATGACTTCGGTACAGGAGCTGGTTTCTACGTTAATGCTACTCAAGAACCTTGGTCTAAGAATTATCAAATGTTTTCTTACGTTACTCAGGAATTGGTGGAATTGATAAATAAAAACTTTGCAGTTGTACCCAATAAGAAGGGTATTTTTGGCCACAGCATGGGTGGTCATGGTGCCTTGGTTTGTGCTTTAAAGAATCCTGGCCTATACCAGTCGGTTTCAGCTTTTGCTCCCATTTCAAATCCTATTGAGTGTCCCTGGGGTCAAAAAGCTTTCAAAGGGTATTTGGGAGACGACCAAGAAGCTTGGAAACAATGGGATGCTACTCATTTAGCCAAGGATTATGCTGGTACCCCTTTGGAATTGTTTGTTGATCAAGGCAGTGAAGATGATTTCCTTAAACAGAAACAACTACTTCCTGATAATTTGTTAGCCGCCACTGCCAACAATGATCATTTGCAAACCATTTACAAATTGCGTGAGGGTTATGATCACAGCTACTATTACATCGCCTCCTTTATAGGCGAACACGTTGCTTACCATGCCAAATTATTAAAACAATAAATTAATAATTAAAAATGAAACAATTGAAGAATTTAATTTCAGAAAATTTACTCATTGAGATTGTTTATTTTACAACTTAAATGAAGTAAATGTCCAAATACATAATTTTAATATTAAACTATATTTTTTGTATAAAGTTAAAGCTAAACTAAAAAAAGAAAAAATATATATTTAAATGAATGTTCCATAACTTGCAATAAGTAGAGTGTAAATTATTTAAAAAAAATTAGTGTTGTAATTCGTTTCTTACTAAATATTTAGATTTCCAGCAGCTGTTGTGCAGCTGCTTCTACATGGACATCATGATAGACGGCCTCGTGCTCCTGATTGACATCGGATTTGGGTACTTCAACAACTTCCAGTTTGATACCTTTTCTCTCGTGTATCAATTTATGGTTGCGCAACTTGTAGTTTTGTGGAAAACCTTTGCCACAAATATCGCAGCTGCAAAAAATAAATATAGGTATAGCAACATAAAAATATAAACAAAATATGTTTACAACTTACACGAATGGCTTTTCACCGGTATGGATCATTTTGTGGAATTTCAAAGTATTGGTATAGGTAAAGCTCTTGCCACAAACATCGCATACATAGGGACGTTCATTGGTGTGAATACTAGAGTAAAGAAACATATCAGTATTTCTCTCATTTCTACGAATTTTGATTATAATCCATTACTTACCGGTGATGCTTGTTTCTTGTAGACAAATCAGCAAATGCAGCTGGACAATAACTGCATTTATAGGGTCTGTTACCCGTATGGGTGTTCATATGTCGAGCCAATTGTTGGCCCTGGGCAAAGCAATGACCACAGATTCTAAAAAAACAATTATGATAAAACAAAACATCTTTCAAGTTAAACAATTGCACTTACTCGCATTCATGAGGCTTAATGCCTTTGTGCAACTTAATGTGTTCTGTTAGTCTACCCTGCGAAGGATATTTGTTGCCACAAAAGTCGCAGATGTAAGAGGTTTCCTTAGGTTTCTTTTCTTTGGGTTCTCGTTTGGCACGTTTTGCTGCTGGGGCTGCTTTACGGCTGGTAGAAGCTTGTGCAGCAGAACGTTTTGCTAAAACTTTTGACTTTTGTTTGGCGTTTTCCTTTTTAATAAATTCCTCATCATCATCCGATGAAGGCAATTCTAAATCTTCTTCCAACTCTAGATATTCCACATTATCCTGGCTGTCGGGTAAACTCTATAAACAAAAAGTTAATTAATTACTTTGAACACACACAAACCCATTTAATTTCCATACATCATTATCGAAGGTATCATCTGCCAGTTGAAAAACTTCCTTTTCTTCCTCTTCAGTCATGGGTTCATAAATCTCTACAAAATCATCATCTTCCTCCTGTATATGTACCGTATATTCTTCTTTTACCATACCCGCATTTTCCTGCTCCAATTTGACCATCAAACCTTCGTTAGATTCTTCTACAACATAACCATCTTCCGTTATTGACAAAGCATTTCCTACCGAGTCATTTTCTTCTTCAAATTCATTCTCAGTACGCTTTTCAACCTCGACAGGAGCTATAAATTTACTCAAATGATTGTGAGACCTTTGGCAGGTTAGACGAAATTTATATGCCACTTGCAAATATTTGTGACATTTGCTGCAGATTTTATCGGGATAATGATCAAACTGTTTTATCTAAATTATTAAAAATACAATTTTTTTTAAAACATTTCAATAAGATTTTTAAAATACTTACGGGCACTCCACCGCATTCCAATATCATACGCGTTAAATCTTTTTCAGCATTTTTATCAAATATTGTTTGCATTTCTTCTTTGGGCTGCTTTAAGCAGATTCTACACACCAGCCATTTTTCATTTAGACCCGATTTCATTTTATTGGAGTTTTTAGGCAACTTAAAGACTTTAATATAATAGCAAAATATTTGGAGAGATAATTTCTTTTAGTTTTTATTATTTTTGCTATAAAATTTTCTATTTATCTTAAAACTTTTAAGAAAATTTCACTGTAAAATATGACGCTTGTTTTGTGTTGTTGCTTTTGTTGTTGATATGTCAAATTTTAATCAATGTGTGGTTTGTGTCAATGTTGTTCAAATGCAACTCTGATAAAATGTCATACATAGTGATGCCACGTTGACAAATTTTGTTGTATGAAAATTAGGATTCTATAAATCCACTTTCGAATAATCGAACAATCGACTTTTTGTCGAAAAGTCTAGAACTAGAACTAGTAACAGAACTAAACTATAACAAGAACTAAGTAGACTAATCTGTCAAAAGACTAGACTTTCGACTTGTTTATCGGATAGACTCTCGTCAAGTCTAAAGACTAAACTTTCGAATAGTGCATGAACTAGACTCTTGACTTATTTATAAACTATAATCTAATACAATTTATATGATTCTTTCCAGACTGCTAAAGCCGAAGAACCAGAATCTCGTTATAGTTCCTCCTCCAGTTTAAGTAGTAGCACTACACCCGAAATAACGACCAGTACTATGCCTTTAAGTAATACAAATACCAATACAACTGACTGGTCAGAAAATGTAAGTCTTGCAATGTTATGATTGTTATAATAATAAAAAAAATACTAAAAATACTTTTATACTCTTCAATAAACAATTAATGTTATTTCCAAATTATATATATTTTATAATTTTTTTAAAAGAATTCAAAAAATTTCAAAATTTAACACGTTCTACGCTTGTTACAAATGTATGTAAAATAACAGAAGATCAGATAAAGAATTTGCAAAAATTTGCGCGAAAACATGCAACTGCGCGCAAAAAATTGCAGAATTTTTCCTTCAAACAGATTTTGTTTGATGTCCCATTTAAATACATTTGTTTGACGATCTAGGAAACTCTGGTTTGTCAAACAGCGATGTATTTTTCTATCTCGTGTTTGCTAGACCTGGTCCACAGTAGGAAACTTTTGTTGAGAAACTTTTTGAGAAACACATGAAAACTTTTGTTTCAGAAACTACGTATTAATTGCACTGATTTGTTGTTGTAGGAATGAGAAGAATAACAAAACAAAACAAGTTTCCGAATACGGGAAACTCCGTACCGCGAGAGAGATGAATGATATTCTTTCTCTTTCTCACGCAAAATCAAAAGTTTCCCAAAAAAAGTTTCCTAGTGTGGACCGGCAGCTACAAACACAAAGTGTTTGAAGTAAAAGCAGCGACTCGAATTAGGCGCGTAAACACGAAAATATCTGAGGCGAAGCACATACATCGAACGATGAGCAAAGTTTTACAACGGCCAAATTTCAACGAGCGGCTTATTTTTAGATAAAAGAAAACTTGCTAAGCAAGTTTTTTTTTTTAAATGAAAACAAATTAATTTTATATTGTAAAATTCCATAAATTTAGCGAAAGTGTTCTGTAAATTATACAAAATGTGGCGAAATTTTCAAGCCTACGGTATTAAGCTGAAAAATTTTCGCCGGCGGCGGCTTTGACATTTTGTTCGGCGGTTAGGCTTAAGCCGAATCGGCGCAAGTCTCGCGCTTGTTTTGTGTTGTTGCTTTTGTTGTTGATATGTCAAATTTTAATCAATGTGTGTTTGTGTCAAAAATCTTCAAATGCAACTCTGATAAAATGTCATACATAGTGATGCCACGTTGACAAATTTTGTTGTATGAAAATGTATTAGCTGTGGTGAAATATGTTGCAAGTGGTGAATTTATTTTAGTTAATTTTAATTTTAACGATTTATTTATTTTTAAAGTGGATTTGTCAGTAATGCAACAATGTATGTATTTTTAACAGTGTACACAATCGACACGGGATTTTTTTTTAAATTGTATATTTCAATTTCAGACTTTAAAGTATTTATTATTAATTTTGTGTAAAATAATAAAAATTTCATAACAATTCCACAATCAAATGTAACAGCTTTTTGTTATTCGCAATTTTACCACGGGTTTAACAACTTTAATGTCCGCTAAAACGTTATTGTTATTGTTGTGATCGTATTTTTTGTAGAGTGCAGAATCGTAATAGATTTTTTTTTGCAATAAATTTGGTAGTAAATTTTAAAGTGCTAAAAGTGAGGTGTTTTTTTCTAAAAATTAAGTTTTAAGTGTTAATAAAATAAAAAAAAGTGTTAGAAATGATTAGTTTAGAGTCTAAACTTTAGACAGAAAAAAGAGAGTTAAAAATTTTGTGTGGTGTTCGACGCGTCCTTTATTTTTTGCAATTAAAGGGAAAAAATGCAAATTCATGGTATGTACCTATATTTTTTAACAATTTTTATTTTACATTTACACAAATGCAGTAACATTAGTATATATTATTTCATAACGTCCGTGTCCAGGCTGTGGCACTTGGTGTCTAAACTTTGGTTAAGTCTTCGGTGAAAGGTGAATAAATATATGTAATAATGTTTCCCTTAGCAGTTGCAATTAGTTTATCTGCTAATAACTTTACCAAACAATTCGTGACTCCCGCCGTTAAAAGGTGTCGCTTTTCTTCTAGTTTGTGTTGTTTTACCTTGGCCGTAAGAAGGCCAAGAAGGTGTTTTATCTTGGGCGGAAATAGGCATCTTGGACTAGTATCTAGACAAGAGTATTCAAAAGTATTGTTTGATAATTCGTTGTACTATTACCGAGAGAAACATTGATAATCTTTCACAGAGAATGATTTAGGTCATTCCAGTGTGAAAATTCAATCAACTGTTAACGAGATTTTTTCAATAGAGACAAGAGCATTGGAAGGGAAACTTACTCCAAGTACTACTTCCACATAGAGTATAAAAAAGTACTTTAAAGATGTATATCACTTTCACCCAAGCGTTAAGACAGTTTCCGGTCAAATTTTTTAAAGTTAACGGTATTTGATCTAAATAAAATTTTTAATTTATTAACATAAAATTGAAAATTATTGATATAAACAAGTGTCATTGTTTGGCCCAAGACATTTGCATGGAATAAAAGCAAGGATAGGAACTGCGGTTTATCTCTCTTACTATTATGTCATGCAAATTTGTTTGTGAAAGGTTTTAGAAAATCGATTTTCACCAAAATGTAGCGAGTAATTTTTATTCCTTATTAGGACACTGCTTGCTATCACATATTGACAGAGCCTAATTTTGGTTATAATCAAAATGTACATAGAATACCATAGAAACACATATTTTTATCACAAAGTATTTAAGTGAATTAAATGTCCGACATTTACCCCCTAATTTTGTAAAACACTTCACCTTGCGTTGAAAATATTTTCATACAAATTTTTGAAAATACAAAAACAATTTATATGAAAAATGAAGTGAAGTAAGGTGAAGGGATTTAAAAAATAACCCCCTTAAAGTTTATACATCGAGCATTGAAATTTAACACTCTCTCAGACCCGTCAGCGACTGACATCTTCAATTTTCTCACCTATCACATCTCAGAAAACCTATTGTCGATTTTTTTTCTTTTGCATAACAGATAGCGCATCATGTTGGTGTTAGGAAATAATAAATTGACTGGTCTATGGGTTAGTTTATTGACTAGCTACTTTAATAGTTTTATGCATTAAACATTCCCTGTAAATAAATTTATTTATTTAAAACTTGCTACTAACATAATATGTTAAAGCAAACAATAACTTTTATTTTTTATTTATTACAATTTCAAATAATTTCTTCAATTTTATATCCTTTCAATTCATTCTCCTCTTCCATATATTCAATGTCAGTTGGATTATGCACCATTACCATATTAACAATCCTATGACGTTTTTCGTGGGCATTTTTATGATGCAATTGAGAGAAGCTCTTGCCACAATAGTCGCAACTGAAAATAAATGTTATTTTACAAAAGTAAATATTAAAAGTTAAAAAACATTAAACTTACGTGTGAGGTTTTTCTCCTGTATGAGTCATCATATGTACTTTTAAAACATTGGAATAGGCAAAGGCTTTATCACACATGTTGCATTTGTACGGACGTTCGTTTGTATGTATTCTGCAAAAGTTGTGTTAATTAACAAAAAACTCTTTAAATAGTTTAATATGGACAAACCTTTCATGTTTTATCTTAGTCGAAGGGTCTCCAAAACGAGCCTCGCAAAACTGACACTTGTAGGGTCTATTACCCGTATGAGAATTCATGTGTCGTGATAATTGCGGGGTGGTGGAAAAACGTTTTTTACAGATTCTGGAAAATAGTTAAAATTTTAACATTATTAATTTATAAATAATATTTTTTTCAAAACTTACTCGCATTCATGAGGCTTATCCTTAATATGTATCTTCATATGATTATTATATTTAGTTTTCTCCGTATAGGTATTTTCACAAAATGCGCAACTATATACACCATTAACAGCCTCATCCTGGCTTTGTTTTCGTTTTCTTTTTGCTGCTGGTTTCTTGTCGTTAAAACGTTTAAGGTTAATTTCCTTTTCAGGATTTTTGGGCATCTCTTCAATAATTATATTATCGTTATTAATAGTTTCTTCATATTTATAGGCGGCTATAACATCTTCATGTTCCTCGTTTGTAAAATGTTTGGCATCGACTTCTTCCAACACATATTGGGAACCTTCATCACTTAAACTATGTAGTTCTTCTGCCTCATTATCTTCAATACTTGTGATATAAAGTTCATTTTTATCTGCTATGTTGTTGTTGTTTAAGTTAGATTCCTCAGACATGTTATAGTCCTCCTCTTCTACATTTTCCTCTACAACATAGTCTGCATCTTCCGATGTCAGCAGCACATTATCCACTTCTTCTTGGACCTCGGCCTTTTGTTCTTCGGCATCTGAATCGAAATTTATTTCGAGAGTATCTCCCTGATCCTCCTTTTGCGGTAGTGTTACAATAAATTGCTGCAGTTGATTTTGAGACTGTTGGCATAAATCACGAAATTTATAAGCAGCTCGCAATAATAACACGCAACGATTACAGATTCTATTTGGTAAATTGGTCTGATGATTAAGCTGCAAATATTAAAAACAATCAAAGGAATGTTTTCAATTGTTTACTTATTAGTTTACCTTTATAGCTCCACATAATTCTATTTTGTCCTGCAGTGTTGTGCCCAGGTCTGTGAGTTCCTCTTCACTGATAGGCTCAAATATGTTGTATAATTTTTTATTTTCGCCTTTTAAACATATTCTACATATTAACCATCGAGTATTTAATGTTTGACTCATTTTTTAAATAATATTTAAATCTAATTTGGATTTGTTTACTTTTTTTGAGTTATCAACAGACAAAAAATTGAATTTCCTAAAAAAATAGTTGGCAAGCGAACACAATCGTCAATAATAAAAAAATTCTTTGACATCTGGTTCCACAAATGTTAGTGTTGCCACCCACTAGAAATGCCAACTATGTGTATTTGATGAAAAAAAAAAACAAAAGAGAGTTAACGGTGTCATCATTGTAGCGTTTTATAATAGAATATATTGTTTTGTTTTTTTGCATTATTTCTAGTGGATACCTTCAAGTTTACAAATCATCATGTATTTCGCAAGTCTAAAAATAAAAGTTTGAAAATAAATTAAATAAGCGAAAAAGAGAGCAAAAAAAAAAAAAATAAAAGACTACTTTTTGTTTCAACTATATAACATTTAGAATCAGCTGCGCAATCTCTAAACTTCAAAAATGTGTTTAATAAGAAAAAAATATTAATCCCAAATGATGATGTTTATCCAAATTCTGTTTCGATTCCTTCCATCATAAATTGAATTCAAAAAATGTTCAACCATTAATTTAAAATTTATTTTGTTTTGTAATTTAAAATCATTTAGAATGTTTAAAATTGAATTACAGTACATATTTTACTTTCCATCATAAATTAAATTTAAGAAACATAATTGTTGATATATTTTTTGTTTAACTTGTTTTTAACAGTTAGTCTCCCACCAAATGTATCCAATAAGACGGGACTTTTGGAAATTCGATTTTTTTTTGGGGGTTAAAAAAGGATAAAAAGGTAAATTCGGTAACCTCAAATCTTCTTAACTAGAAAAGTTACAAAAACAGTTAACGCTTATCGTCGTTCATTTAAAAAAAGCGGACAGGTGTCAGGTAATTTTTTCAAATTCGGCCCCTTTGGGGAATAAACGGGTAAAAACTGTAATTCGGTACTTCTTTTGCACCCCATGTATCTTTTAAACCAGAGAACATTAAAAAAATATTTTTTAATCCTTCATAACTTGACGAACAAATAAAAATATGAATTTAGTACTTTTTGGATATTCGGACGTTTAAGAGGTGAAAATTGTACCTATTTTTGGTACTTTTTTATAAAACATTGTTTTTGTTTAACTTATACATATGAATACATAATAACGGGCTCCCAATACGATGTTGCACTTTTTGGAACAGAATTTTTATTTCGTTAATGGGGAGGAAAAAAGTACCAAAAGAAACACTAAACATGCTAATGGGGTGTTATTTGTATCACCATATCACCAAGTGATATTTTTTGCTACTTTTTCATTCTCCAACTGGTACTTTTTGAGTTTTCTATGATATTGAAATCGAAACATAAAATTAATAATTAAGGTACTTTTCGGAACTTTTTCGTTCTTTGACTGGTACTTTTTGAGCTTGCTACAAAATTTGAACCTCGAAACATGAAATTAAGCACTTAGAGTCTGGAGTAAATGAGAACCTATAAAAGTGGAACTTTATCGTACTTTGACTGGTACTTTTTGAATTTTCTAAAATATTGAATATATAAACATAAAATTAAACACGCAGTATATATGTACTAATTGAACGAACATTTATCTTGCTTACGTCCATTTTGAAAAAAGGTCTTCTTCAGAAAATGACTTAAACGCACATAAATGGCTTTCAAATGTCGATGTCGTTGAAAAAAAAATTTTTAGGAACCGAAACCTACATTTATGAAAAATAAAATTATGAGGATCGGTCCGACAATATAAACCTCTTACAGAAAATCAGTTTATAGCTAATACATCATTCCAAAAGTTATCATTATTATAGATTTATGGTAGAATTAAAAAAAAATACTTTAAATTATAGAGAACTTTGTCCATAATTGACCCAATTCCACATTTAAGTCCCTAATCCGAAAATCACGGTGACGTTCTTATTAATCTAATGATCAAAGTCCATATATATGTATATGACCACTTCCGAAATTTGATATTTTACGACAAATGATTTGCCGAATATAACACTTACTCCTTACTTATTTTAATCATAAAGAAATTACCGCTAAAATATTAATGATCTGCCTTTAGAGTTGCGAGTTTTCATACACTCTAATAATGTTTTCAAAGTGAAACTTTTGGAATATTTTTAAATTTCTTTGTGATCCCTTTAAATGATGTTGTTCTGGAAGAACTTTAACATCCATGTAAACATTTTGGGTAATAAATTGGGGGACTACCAATGACGGGAGCGGAACCTCTCATATGAATTAAATACAAATTCGTTTATCTGGGAAACTAATAGAACTAAATTCTTCAAATTTTGCACGAAGAACTTTAATATTCATCTGAACATTTTGGAGAAAAAAGGGCGGACTTTCATCTGGGGGGCTTGGAACTCCCATATGAATTAAATAGAAAAATTCGTATATCTGAGAAACTAATAGAGCTAGAGTCTTCAAATTTTACTGAAGAACATTTAGAGAAATTGCAATCATTTGCGTGGAATCTCCCATAACAAATTGTATATCCGGAAAACCATTGTAGTTAGAATCATCAAAATCGTTAAGTGCTTTTAGGGTAGCACAGCACACTGGGTATAACTAGTAAATAAACAAATAAAATATCTTTGTTTTTACGTTTTATATGGAGGATAGGGTTAAATATCGGCAGATCCTCGTAAAAATTTCTCCAAGTTTGTTTTTAATTTTTAAGAATTTTTTATTCATCCCTGCAAATTTCTCACACAACTTTTGAGCTTGCTCTGTTTTGTTGTTATAAACAATATATTTGCTTCCAAAATCCCACTTTCTGATCTCTCGGATTCCGTTTTTATTTAAAATTTAAAAACTAAACGTAGTTGAAAACTTAGCCGGCTTACAGTCGATTTTAAGCCGCCGCCGACATATTTAGTGTTAGTCGCCGCCGCCGTTAATATTTGTCGGCGCAGGGCTCTGGCAGCAGCTGAGGAAGAATTGGTTGTGTAAAGTGTTTTCAGTGGCTAAAAAGAAATTCCAATATTTTCCTTAATTTATCACTTAAAATCTTACGTAAATATGGAAATGTTAGCCTCCACCAGAAACTGCATCAAATTCATGCAGGTATTTATAACAAAAACACCAATTACAGTCAAACTTATTAATGACATGTGTGTCTGTTGTCCAATTAGTGTCTGCAGCCGGGCATGTTGACCCCAGGTGTACAGGCTTTAGTGCAAACCCAACAAGTACGTCACCGTCAAACTAAACATTGGGCTCCTAAATTCAAACGTTTGCGGAAATTGAAATTTGTAAAAATGGATTTGCCCGATTTTCATGAGAAACCCTCTGAATTGCCTCAGGATGAGTTGAAAAAGAGAATGAAAGAGCGTGGTTTTTATCCACCTAGACCTTGGCTAGAAAGACCTTTCCATATCAGTTGTACTGGTGGCATCTTTGAGCCTTATGTTCCTCCAGAGGGAGATGGTAAAAAATCGTTCATTTCTGCTGCCGGCGCTAAGCAAAAATTTGAATTTTTGGAAAAGAAATCCAAATCTATGTTGGCTGTGCGTAAAATACGCTCCTATGAAGAGGAATTCGATACTGATGCTTTCCCAAGCATTGCACAAGATGTGTATATTGAGGCTCACAAATTTATGGCCGAAAAGAATAAACATCAGTTGCGTGAATTTGTAAGCGAACGTGCCTACCCCGAAATGATGCATAATGTCAAAGATAAAACCATTCACTGGAAATTCCTTAAATCTCTAGAACCACCCCGTGTTGTACATGCTCGTGTTACCGATATTATTTCCAAAGAAAATCTCTATGCCCAAGTCACTGTACGTTTCCACACCCAACAGATGTTGGCGATTTATGATCGTTTCGGTCGTCTCATGCATGGTAGTGAAATTTTGGCAAAAGATGTTTTAGAATACGTTGTATTTGAAAAACACATTTCCAATGAATACGGCAAATGGCGTTTGCATGATAAAATCATACCCGATTGGCTGCCACCTAAACAACCAGCTCTCATAACCTACAAACTTATTGAAGATGCTGCGCCTGAACAAATCGCTGCTGGAGAAGAGACCAAACAATTGGAGGAAGGTGAAAAGAAATTAGATGCTGGCTCCGAAGCGGAGCAATTGCCTGTTGCTGCTACCACAGAGAAGGCTGCGGCGAAACCTAACGCGACGGCCATTTGATTGTATTATTTATTGTTAGGTTGGCATTTTAAACGTATGCGTTTAAATCCGATTTAATAAATTTAAATAAATTTTTTGTTTTCTTTTTTTAAGTTAGAGATTTTTGGTTTTTATTGTTGATTATTTTCCGTTAGAAAAATTCTGTAACTCGGAAAGAAATTTTACTTTTTTTATGAAAAACATTTAAAAGAGATTTTTATATAAATTTATAAAATATCCATTCGAGAAACAGTTAATATTTTCGAGTTAAATTTTTAGTGTTGTTTTGAATTTATATTTTTTATTATTTCAGAGCATTATCTTTAAATTTTTTAATTTTATTTTATTATATTTTTATTATAACCTAAACATAATTGGTGCTGAGGGCTTCAATATATTTCAGCGCTGCTGTTATCTTAGCAAATACTTATTACTAAGTAAACGAGTAATAATATAATAGTATTACCGCCATACTCAGTTTTAAACTTGATCAGATATCATGAAATAATAAATTTAAAAGTTGATTATGAATTAATAAAATACATATTTATGAGTAGATTTCGGTTAACATCTGAAATTAAATGAATTAATAATATACATAATTATGAGTAGATTTCGGTTAACATCTGAAATTAAATAAAAACATTTGTAAGTTGACTTAAAATATCAAAATGTTTTAATCTAGGATATAATTATGGACAAAATTAACTTAGAGCAAAACTATAGCCGAACTTGAACTTAACTAGAACAGAACTAGAAGTGAACTAGAAATAAAATAGAATTGATCAAGAATGGTACTAGTTTAGTACTGAACTAGAACTAAACTAGAATTGAAGTAAAACTGTACCGACTACAACTAAACTACAACTGTACTAGAACTGAACCAGAACTAGAACAGAACTAGAACTGAACTAGAACTAAACTAGAAATGAACTAGAACTAAACAAGAACTTAAATAGAACTGAATTAGAGCTGAACTAGAATTGAACTATAACAGAACTAGAACTGAAATAGAACTGAACAAGAACTAGACTTGAACTGAACTAGACCCGAACTAGAACTGAACTAGAACTGCACTAGAACTGAACTAGAACTGAACTAGAACTGAACTAGAACTGAACTAGAACTGAACTAGAACTGAACTGGAACTGAACTAGAACTGAACTAGAACTGAACTAGAACTGAACTAGAACTAAACTAGAAATGAACTAGAACTGAACTAGAACTGAACTAGAACTGAACTAGAACTGAACTAGAACTGAACTAGAACTGAACTAGAACTGAACTAGAACTGAACTAGAACTGAACTAGAACTGAACTAGAACTGAACTAGAACTGAACTAGAACTGAACTGGAACTGAACTAGAACTGAACTAGAACTGAACTAGAACTGAACTAGAACTGGACTAGAACTGAACTAGAACTGAAATAGAATTGAACTAGAATGAACTACAACTGAACTAAACTAGAACTGAAGTATAACAGAAATAGAACAGAACTAGAACTGATTAGAAATCAACAAGAACTGAATTAGAATTGAACTTAATCTGAACTAGAACTTAACTAAAACTGAATTAGATCTAAAACTGAAATAACATTAAACTAGTACCGAAAATTTAATAATAAATTTGTCTTGAGAAATTAAATAAATAATAAAATTATTGAATAATATAAACTGATTGATCATTTAACGCAAAAGGTCAATTTTCAGTTTGAAAATTACCCATTATCTAGAAAAGTTATAAATCGTTAAAAGGGCAATATTTTCCCTTTCACGCCCAACATTCAAAAGAAGACTTAATTGAAGAACATATTCAAATATTTATTATATTTTTCTCAAAGAAAAGGAAATGTGTTTCCAGTTTTGATTTACAACACTTTTATTGTTATATAAACATATACACGCACATATTGTCTATTTTCAATATTGAAATTGCTTATGGACATTGACTACAATCAGTAGTACCTTCATAAGTTACTCCACCTCCAATTCAAATGCAAATTTCATAAGCATTTAGAATATTTATGGCTCTAACGATAAATAGAAGAGTAGTACATATTATATTCGTAGGACTCCCGCCCTTATCACTTACAGCTGTAGAACTAGTAGAGGTATTTGTATTAAAGGAATAAACAATGCGAGGGTGTATGAATAACATTTTTACCCTTTAACCATATTTACGGAATTTGTTTTTTTTTTTTAGTTTGTCATTCTTTGTTTGTATGAAGAATGTCTTTAATCTTATCAGTCTGTTTTTTTTTATATTTTTTTTTCATTTTTTGTGTTAATCCTATTGACCCAGAAAATATGTTTTCTTGTCTCCTACTTCATCATCAACATAAGCAACAATATTCTCCTCCTCCAACTCCTTAGCGCCTTTTCAATATGTTGTTAAGCTTTTAAAATGTACCGTTATTATATTTTATTTTTATACACTAAAGCTTAAAACCCTTTTTGTAACAATAAATAAAATTTATCACTCTGTGTGTAATCTCTACAACTGCTACTTACTACTACTACTACTACTGCTGGCTGCTATAGTTTCTAGTACAGGGTGAAGGAATAATTGCTTCCACCACCGACTTTGTACCAACGTTACCACAAATAACAACAACAAGAATAACAATACACAAATACAACAACTACTTATCCAAACTCAAGTAGAGCAATTATTTAACTAAACTATAGGGGGGATCTGAAAGGTCAAGGTCAAATACCTCTTTTTAGCTTTATGCTGCAGCCGAGTCGGCAGCCAACCATCAGCCAACTCAGCACGAATACAAAGAATTCAATTTGAATTCTTTTTACAAATTCAAAAAGTTACTAAATTATTGTACGATTATACATAAATAAAGATTGAGAAGAAACAAAACAAATTAATAACTAAAAAACCCAAAAGACCGACCGACTGAACCTAACAATCGACCCCTTAGAGTGTTCAACAAATCAGCTTCTGCTGTTTTATTTTATTTAGATTTTTTTCTTTGTGCAAATAGAAAATGTAGTGATTAATTTTCTTTCATTTATTCTTTATTATTTTATCATCTTTTATAATTTTTTTTGTCTGTTTTTTCTTTATTTTTTTTTTGGTTTTCTTACCACGTATTATTTATGTGCTTAAAATTTATTTAAATAAAATTTTATTGAGGTTTAACCAAATGGGTTTAGAACAAAATTTTTGCATAAATAATAATAAAGTCTAAGAAAATTAAAGCGAAAAAAAATCGTTATTAATAAATGCAGTGAAGATTGAAATTGATAAAAGTACTTTTTATTGGTACAAAGTCGGATGGAAGAGTATAGCTAACTAATCTTTATAAAACACTAAATACAAAGATCAAGATACAAATGTTTCTAGTTTACAAGAGATGCCGCATTCAGTCTAATTATCTCTAAATATTAAACAAGCCATTAAGTCTGAACTGAATTTATCAAATTTTAATAGTAACTTTAATTCTAAAGAATATGATTATTAATACAAGACGAATTTGTATTCTCCAATGTCTATTATCTAAGAAAGAATAAGTACTTAAAATAGTACAAAAAGAAAGTACCATTATCTTTAATGTTACATCTCCGTTATAATGGTTGCATTTTATATCACTTATTTTACTCATCTCTTTCTCTTTTTAATTGTTATAAACTAGTACTTATTCTTTCGTACTCAATACAGTACATATAATTAATTTGATATTAAATACCATTTTACATAATTAAGTACTCATACTAAGAATTAAATTAAAACTTGTAATAATACAAGTGTTCGTACAAGGATGGATATTTTATGATGTTTTTCTAAGAAATGAACTTTATGAAGAAATTTTACTTTAAAGGGCTTTGTAAAATTATTCAATAAAAATCGTGCTGTAATTATTTTTAATTACTAATAAGATTTATAAAAATTAAGTTGTTTCAAACTAACGCATACTTTGTTCAAATAGGTCGGACTTTTAAATCTATCGAAATATGTACATATCTACTTGAGTTTATATTTGTGGACTGGATTTTCACATAATAGATATTTATCATGTTATTTTGTTCGTAGCCACCAGGTACCGAGAACAATTAATTGCAATGAATTATAACAGAACTTGAACAGAATTAGAACTAGAACTAGAACAGAACTAGAACAGAACTAGAACAGAACTAGAACAGAACTAGAGCAGAACTAGAACAGAACTAGAACATAATTAGAACAGAACTAGAACAGGACTAGAACAGAACTAGAACTAGAACAGAACTAGAACAGGACTAGAACAGAACTAGAACAGAACTAGAACAGAACTAGAACAGAACTAGAACAGAACTAGAACAGAACTAGAACAGAACTAGAACAGAACTAGAACAGAACTAGAACAGAACTAGAACAGAACTAGAACAGAACTAGAACAGAACTAGAACAGAACTAGAACAGAACTAGAACAGAACTAGAACAGAACTAGAACAGAACTAGAACAGAACTAGAACAGAACTAGAACAGAACTAGAACAGAACTAGAACAGAACTAGAACAGAACTAGAACAGAACTAGAACAGAACTAGAACAGAACTAGAACAGAACTAGAACAGAACTAGAACAGAACTAGAACAGAACTAGAACTAGAACAGAACTAGAACAGAACTAGAACAGAACTAGAACAGAACTAGAACAGAACTAGAACAGAACTAGAACAGAACTAGAACAGAACTAGAACAGAACTAGAACAGAACTAGAACAGAACTAGAACAGAACTAGAACAGAACTAGAACAGAACTAGAACAGAACTAGAACAGAACTAGAACAGAACTAGAACAGAACTAGAACAGAACTAGAACAGAACTAGAACAGAACTAGAACAGAACTAGAACAGAACTAGAACAGAACTAGAACAGAACTAGAACAGAACTAGAACAGAACTAGAACAGAACTAGAACAGAACTAGAACAGAACTAGAACAGAACTAGAACAGAACTAGAACAGAACTAGAACAGAACTAGAACAGAACTAGAACAGAACTAGAAAAGAACTAGAACAGAACTAGAAAAGAACTAGAACGGAGCTAGACGATTTTGATTTCAATACGAAATTAAAGAAAATATTTATTTATTTTTATTTTGCGGAGATCGCTATTATATCCTTGACTAGGTGCCACCCTAATGTATTATTAATTAATTTATTTTTAAAGTATGTATCCTTAAGGCATCCTTTACTAGGTGTCACCCTAATGTACGTATATAAAATATAATAAAAACACCAATTTTCATTTAATAGAATTTTACCTAAAACTATTTAGTAATAAATAGTAAATACTATTTACCTAAACTAAATCCCAAGAATTAATAAAAAAACAATTATAATTATTTATTATTATTTATCTTTGGTTTTTATTTTATTTTTACGTTTATCTACTTAATATTATGTCATACATAATTAAAATCTTTTTTATTATTTCATTATTTTTGGTTTTTTCTCTGTGTTTATTTATTTTTTTAACTTACTTAATTATTTATTTATTTATTTATGTAATAATTAATAACTATGAACAATATAAACAAATGCAAAGTTTACTCTCTTTTTTTTTGCACACACAATTAACGTGGTTTTGCAACAGTTTTGACCGCCATATTTGTATTTTGCTTTCATTTTCAATTTAAATATTCAACACCCTTATAATCACCCAATTAGGGAGAAACTCAGATGTTTTTCGGTTTTTAAATATGTTATGCTTTTAGGCATCGCTACCATTGGCTGTTGCTGCTTGTTTAAAATTTAAAAAATAAATAATAAAACGTGTGTCGTTTTTTGTTAAAACTTAAAAATTAAAAACATCTAATTGAAGTTAAAACGATCAAATCGCTTAAAGTCGAAAAAACATCCATTATTGTGGTGTTGAATGGTGATTTTTTGTTGTTGTTTTTCTTATTGTTGGTTTTGTTGCTGTTGTGAGTGTTAATGATGTTGGGCAATGCATTAGATTCGGCCAATGCCGAATATTTCCCACTTGATTACAGTCACCTGGTAATACAGCGCGGCAGTCGACCATTATGCACAAGGAAACACTGCGATACGGTCATGCCCAATAACACTAGACAACAATTTGTTGTAATCATTAAATCAACTATGGATGAGAATATATGATGCAGGGTTGACAGATTGACGAATGCCGAAATGAGGGCATCATACGATAACGATCGCATGACTATACGAATTGATTGTGTCAGAGTTGAAGCACTATTGTTGCCATGTTGCATGGCTGCTGGATGTTCACCGTTAATGACATGTACTACGACCGATGCGGAATCTATAAATGAAAGAATAAATATTTAAAACTTCGAATGTTATTTCTTCATTTACTATGACGAAAATTGAATCGAAACGGAACTGGATTTAACTTAAAGAGACTTTACTAGAACTGAACAAGAACTGAATTAGAACTGAACTAGATCTGAGCTAGAACTGAACTAGAACTAGAACTGAACTAGAACTGAACTGAACTAGAATTGAACTAGAACTGAACTAAAACTGAACTAGAACTGAACTAGAACTAACTAGAACTGAAACTAGAACTGAACTAGAACTGAACTAGAACTGAACTAGAACTGAACTAGAACTGAAACTAGAACTGAACTGAACTAGAACTGAACTAGAACTGAACTGAACTAGAACTAGAACTGAACTAGAACTGAACTAGAACTGAACTAGAACTGAACTAGAACTGAACTAGAACTGAACTAGAACTGAACTAGAACTGAACTAGAACTGAACTAGAACTGAACTAGAACTGAACTAGAACTGAACTAGAACTGAACTAGAACTGAACTAGAACTGAACTAGAACTGAACTAGAACTGAACTAGAACTGAACTAGAACTGAACTAGAACTGAACTAGAACTGAACTAGAACTGAACTAGAACTGAACTAGAACTGAACTAGAACTGAACTAGAACTGAACTAGAACTGAACTAGAACTGAACTAGAACTGAACTAGAACTGAACTAGAACTGAACTAGAACTGAACTAGAACTGAACTAGAACTGAACTAGAACTGAACTAGAACTGAACTAGAACTGAACTAGAACTGAACTAGAACTGAACTAGAACTGAACTAGAACTAGAACTGAACTAGAACTGAACTAGAACTGAACTAGAACTGAACTAGAACTGAACTAGAACTGAACTAGAACTGAACTAGAACTGAACTAGAACTGAACTAGAACTGAACTAGAACTGAACTAGAACTGAACTAGAACTGTACTAGAACTGAACTAGAACTGAACTAGAACTGAACTAGAACTGAACTAGAACTAAACTAGAACTGAAATAGAACTGAACTAGAACTGAACTAGAACTGAACTAGAACAGAACTAGAACTGAACTAGAACTGAACTAGAACTGAACTAGAACTGAACTAGAACTGAACTAGAACTGAACTAGAACTGAACTAGAACTGCACTAGAACTGAACTAGAACTGAACTAGAACTGAACTAGAACTGAACTAGAACTGAACTAGAACTGAACTAGAACTGAACTAGAACTGAACTAGAACTGAACTAGAACTGTACTAGAACTGAACTAGAACTGAACTAGAACTGAACTAGAACTGAACTAGAACTGAACTAGAACTGAACTAGAACTAAAATAGAACTGAAATAGAACTGAACTAGAACTGAACTAGAACTGAACTAGAACAGAACTAGAACTGAACTAGAACTGAACTAGAACTGAACTAGAACTGAACTAGAACTGAACTAGAACTGCACTAGAACTGAACTAGAACTGAACTAGAACTGAACTAGAACTGAACTAGAACTGAACTAGAACTGAACTAGAACTGAACTAGAACTGAACTAGAACTGAACTAGAACTGAACTAGAACTGAACTAGAACTGAACTAGAACTGAACTAGAACTGAACTAGAACTGTACTAGAACTGAACTAGAACTGAACTAGAACTGAACTAGAACTGAACTAGAACTGAACTAGAACTGAACTAGAACTGAACTAGAACTGAACTAGAACTAAACTAGAACTGAAATAGAACTGAACTAGAACTGAACTAGAACTGAACTAGAACAGAACTAGAACTGAACTAGAACTGAACTAGAACTGAACTAGAACTGAACTAGAACTGAACTAGAACTGAACTAGAACTGAACTAGAACTGAACTAGAACTGAACTAGAACTGAACTAGAACTGAACTAGAACTGAACTAGAACTGAACTAGAACTGAACTAGAACTGAACTAGAACTGAACTAGAACTGAACTAGAACTGAACTAGAACTGAACTAGAACTGAACTAGAACTGAACTAGAACTGAACTAGAACTGAACTAGAACTGAACTAGAACTGAACTAGAACTGAACTAGAACTGAACTAGAACTGAACTAGAACTGAACTAGAACTGAACTAGAACTGAACTAGAACTGAACTAGAACTGAACTAGAACTGAACTAGAACTGAACTAGAACTGAACTAGAACTGAACTAGAACTGAACTACTAGAACTGAACTAGAACTGAACTAGAACTGAACTAGAACTGAACTAGAACTGAACTAGAACTGAACTAGAACTGAACTAGAACTGAACTAGAACTGAACTAGAACTGAACTAGAACTGAACTAGAACTGAACTAGAACTGAACTAGAACTGAACTAGAACTGAACTAGAACTGAACTAGAACTGAACTAGAACTGAACTAGAACTGAACTAGAACTGAACTAGAACTGAACTAGAACTGAACTAGAACTGAACTAGAACTGAACTAGAACTGAACTAGAACTGAACTAGAACTGAACTAGAACTGAACTAGAACTGAACTAGAACTGAACTAGAACTGAACTAGAACTGAACTAGAACTGAACTAGAACTGAACTAGAACTGAACTAGAACTGAACTAGAACTGAACTAGAACTGAACTAGAACTGAACTAGAACTGAACTAGAACTGAACTAGAACTGAACTAGAACTGAACTAGAACTGAACTAGAACTGATCAAGAACTGAAATAGAACTGAACTAGAACTTAACCAGAACTTAACCAGAACTAAACTAGAATTGAACAAGAACTGACATATAATTTTAGGCTCACGTGTTACAATCTTTACAATGATCTAATATAGACTTATTAAATCAATTAATTTCTGTCAATATTGTCAAAATTTTCTGCTATTTTTTCCGTTACCAATTCCTAAAAGCTGACAAATAAAAGCAGTTTTCATAAAGTCCTTTTTCGCATAAAAATGTTATCAACTAATTCTCATGTACTACTTTGGTTGGTGGTACTTAAATTGTTTTCATTGCATTTCATCGTTAATAAATTAATAGTGCATATTCAAATTGAACTGTTATTAGAAACAGCGTGTTTGCAATGTTGCAGCTATTTTGTATTTGTTGCTGTTGCAGCTGCCTTATGCGAGCATGCATGCGTGCAACAAAATAATGTCTGTCTAATTACATACCAGAACTACTGGGAGAACATGTATAATTCCCAGAATCTGCTGATGTTGCCTTTGAAATCAATAATTTACTTGTGCGTGTTGTTCGTTCGGTTATAACGTTGATGCCACCACGTTGCGAATAGTTCATTAGACGTTTTCCTTTGTACCAATAAATAAACGAAGGCGGAATGGGTGATTGCATAGCAAGGCATGTTAAATTAATATCACTGCCACTTTTGATAAACAATTCAGGATTACCAAGTATTTTCGCTCGAGACACTTTAAAAGGCAAAAAATTATAGAAAAGAGAGCAAAAGGAACAAGATAAAAAAAAAGAAAAGGTAAAATGTTAAAATGAAATAATGTGTGTGTGGCGTATAAATGTGGCATTAACTTACCCACAACATTCAAACGGAAACCTTGGCTTATTTTTGGTTCAGTTGACACCTGACACTCGTACGTGCCGGAATCTCGAGGTTGTGGCGATGATATTCTCAATGTCCATTCGTCTGAACCTTCGGTGTGCAAAGATTGAAATCGTTGATCATTGGTGTATGTTAATATGCCTACAGTCAGTATGTGCAAGTCACGTTTGCGTATCCAGGAAACCTGTGGATGTTTTTGTGTTTTTTTGTTTTGTTTAAAAATGTTATGTTGAATTGTAAGTAATTGTTGGGTTTAATTTAACTTACCGCTCTATCACCTAAATTTCTAACTCTACATTGCAGCAATGCTGCTTGACCCACTATGGAAGTGACTTCTCGTCTGGACGAGTTGTCAAAATAGGGTTGAGAATATGGAGTTTCCCAATAATGAGAGGATACATCACCGTATATTATACGCATCTCTGAAAAAAAGATTTAATATAAATTATGAAAATGTATGTATGTATTTGTATGTGGTTTTTATTAAAAAAAGTACAACTTTAACTTTTCGTTAAAATGCTATAAAAAATTAAAAAAGTATGGTCGCCGACTATATTATACTTTACAGTTGTTTGTTAGAAATATATGGATTGCTTTTACAGGTAATTAAACTAGGACTGAACTTAATCTGAAGTAGAACTGAAGTAGAACTGAACTAGAACTGAACTAGAACTGAACTAGAACTGAACTAGAACTGAACTAGAACTGAACTAGAACTGAACTAGAACTGAACTAGAACTGAACTAGAACTGAACTAGAACTGAACTAGAACTGAACTAGAACTGAACTAGAACTGAACTAGAACTGAACTAGAACTGAACTAGAACTGAACTAGAACTGAACTAGAACTGAACTAGAACTGAACTAGAACTGAACTAGAACTGAACTAGAACTGAACTAGAACTGAACTAGAACTGAACTAGAACTGAACTAGAACTGAACTAGAACTGAACTAGAACTGAACTAGAACTGAACTAGAACTGAACTAGAACTGAACTAGAACTGAACTAGAACTGAACTAGAACTGAACTAGAACTGAACTAGAACTGAACTAGAACTGAACTAGAACTGAACTAGAACTGAACTAGAACTGAACTAGAACTGAACTAGAACTGAACTAGAACTGAACTAGAACTGAACTAGAACTGAACTAGAACTGAACTAGAACTGAACTAGAACTGAACTAGAACTGAACTAGAACTGAACTAGAACTGAACTAGAACTGAACTAGAAACTGAACTAGAACTGAACTAGAACTGAACTAGAACTGAACTAGAACTGAACTAGAACTGAACTAGAACTGAACTAGAACTGAACTAGAACTGAACTAGAACTGAACTAGAACTGAACTAGAACTGAACTAGAACTGAACTAGAACTGAACTAGAACTGAACTAGAACTGAACTAGAACTGAACTAGAACTGACTAGAACTGAACTAGAACTAGAACTGAACTAGAACTGAACTAGAACTGAACTGAACTAGAACTGAACTAGAACTGAACTAGAACTAGAACTGAACTAGAACTGAATTTAAACTGAACTAGAACTGAACTAGAACTGAATTTAAACTGAACAAGAACAAAGACCGTATTCAGAAAGACATTTATATGAACCCTATCTTAGCTTTCGGACTGTGTTAAGGCGAACTTAGTTTAAGTTTACGAATTTTACGTATTTTTGTATTTTATGAACCGATACATAATTTAATACGTAATAAATAATATATAAAACACCTTGATTTCTAATGCAGACATAAAAACACGTTTCAAAAGATCTAACAAACTAACTGGTACTCATGTCATGCTTAACATCATCATCAACTTGATAGTTGTTGTTTTTTCTCATATTTTATCTTTAATGTTTTTATTATTTTTTTCATATTTTCCTCAATTTAATAACTCAAATTAACCATAATTTCCACTTAAATTCTTTTTATTTCTACGTGTATACATGTAAACTTGTGTATTTAGTAAAATATGTAAAAATGTAGTGTAGAAAATAAAAACAAAATGAAAATTTTTCTATTATTTAGTCTAGCGAAAATACACAGAGAAAAGCAGAAAATGAACCTTTTTATGCTCTTGTGTACATTTTGCTTTGACTACCTTAATGTGACCCTGTTTCAGTTCAAAATTTTACAATTTTTTTATGTATGTAACTGTTTTTTTTTTTATTATTACACCAAACTGAACAACAACAGCAGAAACTAAAACTGGAAAAATAAAACTACAACAACCAAATGTTCTTGAAGTTATATCTGATATATACTATTTTATGACCTCATTAGAGTATGAGCAGGGGGTATCGTACTGTACCGTACCGTACATACTCTCACTCTCGTATGAGGTGTAAAAATGTTAAAATAAAATTTTCTTGCTAAACTAGAAAAAACAAAATTAAATGAACAACTGAAAACTTTGCAAATTTTTTATTTCCAATTTTAGTTTCTTTTTTCGAAAATGAACGTTAGGAAACCAACAAAACTACAAAAAAATCCTATTTACAGATTTAAATAGATTTTAGCCCAAAACGGCAAGCGCACAAGAAAAGAATATAAATTTGTCTTTAGTCACTTTTAAAAGTTATTAATTATTCACACTTGCATCGAAATCTATTATTCACAATTTAGCTGTAAAATCTGATTTTGTGCTTTTTTGTGACAAAATTTTCTTTTTTATCTCCTTTTAAGTTTTTGACAGTTTGCTAAAACTTGTTTGACATTTAAGACAAGTCGACATTGAAATTGTCATTTAAGGCTTTAAGGCATTTTTGTAGATGTTCAAATTTGAACATGTTTATTGGTAAAATTAAGTTGAATTCTGTATTTATGTTTATATACATACATATACGTATATTTATTAGGGTGATCGATTATTCGACATTTTCCAAAAACCGGTTTTCGAATAGATCGAATAGTTGACATTTAAAAAAAACCGGTTGAAATTTTTCAAATACAGAAAAAACCGGTTAACCGGTTTTTCATTATAAAAAAAAATATATTTTAATTTAAAAAACTTAATGTTTATGTTTAAATTTGATTAATAAAACATGGCCCGAAATGATTTTTAACAGTTTAAAAGATTATAACTTTAGATCTAGTCGTCTGATTTACATTATTTCTTTAATATAAAAAAAATTAGGAAAAAAGTGGGACTTCTGTTAAACATAAGGTACTTTGTAATCCTAGCTTATTTTAAAAGCCCTGTTTAGGAAATTTGCATAGGCATTCCAACACTTCCATAAAATTTCAGCCGTAAATTTATTATTGTAATTGGAATATAATCTTAAGATTGATAAAATTTTATCAAACAGTTATCAATTTTACAAATAAATTTTTTTAATTAATTAGGAAAAGAAGTTTAACCAAAGGAGCTGTAGAAAAATATACGCTAGTTCCTCGACTCGAATATTTTTAAAATTTAGACGGGCTGTATTATAATTTACTTAAAAATTTCATTTAAATAATCTTTGAATACAAAGCAAATAAAAGTATTCGAAACCGGTTTTTAAAAAGTGAAAAAACCGGATTATTCGATATTCGAAAAATCAACATTAAGAAAAAACCGACACTGGTAAAGCAGAAAAAACCGGTTTTAAAACCGGTTGAAAAATCGAGTCGATCACCCTAATATTTATATACTTGATTTTCGCTTATGTAATAAGGCAACGAAGGTAGTGCCAAAAGTAGGGTAAAATTAATTTGCAAATTTGTTCATTAAGCAAACCAAATCTTTATTCTGTATTGGTCCTTTTAGATTTCTTACAGATTTTTTAATTAGGTTATTCTAATTCAGTTCTAGTTCAGTTCTAGTCCAGTTCTAGTTCAGTTCTAGTTCAGTTCTAGTTCAGTTCTAGTTCAGTTCTAGTTCAGTTCTAGTTCAGTTCTAGTTCAGTTCTAGTTCAGTTCTAGTTCAGTTCTAGTTCAGTTCTAGTTCAGTCTAGTTTAGTTCTAGTTCAGTTCTAGTTCAGTTCTAGTTCAGTTCTAGTTCAGTTCTAGTTCAGTTCTAGTTCAGTTCTAGTTCAGTTCTAGTTCAGTTCTAGTTCTAGTTCAGTTCAGTTCTAGTTCAGTTCTAGTTCAGTTCTAGTTCAGTTCTAGTTCAGTTCTAGTTCAGTTCTAGTTCAGTTCTAGTTCAGTTCTAGTTCAGTTCTAGTTCAGTTCTAGTTCAGTTCTAGTTCAGTTCTAGTTCAGTTCTAGTTCAGTTCTAGTTCAGTTCTAGTTCAGTTCTAGTTCAGTTCTAGTTCAGTTCTAGTTCAGTTCTAGTTCAGTTCTAGTTCAGTTCTAGTTCAGTTCTAGTTCAGTTCTAGTTCAGTTCTAGTTCAGTTCTAGTTCAGTTCTAGTTCAGTTCTAGTTCAGTTCTAGTTCAGTTCTAGTTCAGTTCTAGTTCAGTTCTAGTTCAGTTCTAGTTCAGTTCTAGTTCAGTTCTAGTTCAGTTCTAGTTCAGTTCTAGTTCAGTTCTAGTTCAGTTCTAGTTCAGTTCTAGTTCAGTTCTAGTTCAGTTCTAGTTCAGTTCTAGTTCAGTTCTAGTTCAGTTCTAGTTCAGTTCTAGTTCAGTTCTAGTTCAGTTCTAGTTCAGTTCTAGTTCAGTTCTAGTTCAGTTCTAGTTCAGTTCTAGTTCAGTTCTAGTTCAGTTCTAGTTCAGTTCTAGTTCAGTTCTAGTTCAGTTCTAGTTCAGTTCTAGTTCAGTTCAGTTCTAGTTCAGTTCTAGTTCAGTTCTAGTTCAGTTCTAGTTCAGTTCTAGTTCAGTTCTATTCAGTTCTAGTTCAGTTCAGTTCTAGTTCAGTTCTAGTTCAGTTCTAGTTCAGTTCTAGTTCAGTTCTAGTTCAGTTCTAGTTCTAGTTCAGTTGTAATTATTCCACAAAAAAATTTCGTAATCAAAATTAGTTTTCTGCAATAAAATAATCATTTCTAAACATAAGTACTCGTTCGGGTGGGATTAACGATATGCAAGAATAATTTTAAATTTTATAAATTGTTTGTGTTTTGTTTTAAAAGTAACAAGTCTGCTGGGAGTTCTGGTCAATTTGACCAACTTTGTTTTTTCCTTATTTGTGTGTTACTGAATTAGTTAAGTGCATAATTGTAAAATTTTTAATTGAAGTTTTTGTGTCAAACATGTATACATACATGTGTTTTAATTCAATTAAATTATATTGTATTTTTTCGTAACTTTATTTAAACTTTTAAAAAGCTTGATTTTTTTTATTGGTTTTTTCATAAACTTGAATTGTATGAAATTTTAATTTAATTTACTCTCTCAAAATACCAAAAATTCCTTAAAAGTTTTTCGCCCAAAAGAATTTCAACTTAAACATTTTTAAAAATGTATTTTATTAAGAAAAAAGAAATATAAATTCTAGGAAGTTCTATGTACATACATACATATGTATATAGAAAACTTTTAAAGAGATTTCTTAAATACA